GTGTGTGTGTGTGTGTGTGTGCGCGTGTGTGTGCGCGTGTGTGTGCGTGTGTGTGTGTGTGACCTGGTGGGATAGTTGGATAGTCTCTGGGAGGTGTCTAGGGTGCGGGAGGGATGTGCAGGGCTGGCCACCTGATCTCCTTGCGTGTCTCTTCATGCCAGCAGGACGTGCTGTGTGCCCCTGCCCGCCGGCTCCTCCAGGACAGCCAGGACATCCCTGTGGTGGTCGCCCCGCTGCGGGCTGAGCGCGTGCTACTCTTTGATGACGTCCTTGTCCTGCTTCAGGTTAGGAGGAGATAACGTGAGGTGCAGTCCCGGGTCGGGTTAGAAACTGAACAGGCCATAGGCTTAGAGACGGAGAGGTAGGGGAGAGACCCACATGCTGACATGACATGGGGATGGCTTGGTCAAGGCTTGCAGGTCACCAGGAAGACTGACCTGGGCTTCAGGGTTTGTCCCATAACCAGTAACCTTGACCAAACTCACCTGGCACTTGGGCTCCCAGCACTGTCTCCCCTGCCTCAGCGTGGTGGCTTGGTTAGGGTTTATTCTGTCTCTGTTCCCTCCTCTCCTGACATCACAGTACATTCTCTAGAGATGTTTCTAGCCCTTTCCCTTTTCTTGTTGCTGCTGCAAAATGCCTGACAAAAACAGGGAGGGATGGAAGGAGGGAGGGAGGAAGCTCTGTAGTGGGCCCCAGGCAGGAGGAGCCTTAGAAGTTTGCACCAGGGGCTGCCAGAGGCCACCTGTGTTTCTAGAAAACCCTGGCAACCGCAGGGGTAAGGAAGCCTGTCAGGTTCCTAGGATGAGAAAGCCAAGAAGCTGTGGCTGAAGGGTGCTGGCTGATGGAAGGATCCAGTACTGATGCTCTTGCCTGGCATCTGGGGGCCCCCAGGGCAGGTATCCCTGTTGTCACAGCTCTGGACACCACCTTTACTCATCTTCTTCCAGGGCCACAATATCCACACTTTTGACCTGAAGTTGGTGTGGGTAGATCCTGGCCAAGACAAGTGAGTGACTTCCTCTGCAGGTGTCCCCTGGACTTGCCTCCCTGTGCCCTGTGATATCCGCTCACACCTCCAGGCTCCCACATGAGCCCCGCTTCCAACCCTAGAAGAACTGGGGCTCACTGGTCACCTCCATGTGCCTAGGTGTGTGCTTCGCATCCTCACACCTGAAGAGGAGTTCTCCTTTTGCACCAGAAACCCCCAGGGCCAGGTGAATGAGGCTGAAGCATGAACAGCGGGGATGAGGCCAGAAGCCGGGGAGGGCAGAGTGCCAATGCTACAGGACTAGAAGGGCATCAGGGGTTTGCCTAGGGTTCGGTATCAGGATGTCAGAGGAAAAGGAATTTCCCACCATTAGGCTGAAGTAGAGGCCTAAGTGGATGCCTGTCCCTAGCCCCTTGTGCAGCCCTCTGGGTTGTCTAGTCCCTGAACTACTCAGGTCGCGGGTCCGATGCCACGCCATAGAAGGGCAGGCAATGTCCTTGGGAACAGAGTGGTGGGGAAAGACCTAGGTGCCCCACGAGGCTTCTAGAGCATTCTGTAGCAACAATGACATGTTCACTGCCTTCCTGTCCCCATCAGGTTGTGTGGCAGTGGAAAGTGACCCAGGCTGTGTGCCAGGCCCTGCGTGGCAAGAAGGACTTCCCTGTGCTGGGGTCCGGCCCCGAGTCATCCTTACCCCCTGACTGCCGCTGTGTGGCCTATACTTTCCGCCATGAGGGCCGTTTCTACCAGGCTACCTATGAGGGTGATTGGTGCCGGGCCAAGCTGCATGGCAAGTGAGTCACCATTGCTGTGGGGTTAGCAGTTTCAGCAGGTCATCAGAAAGGAGTGTGTTAGAAATTCCATTGACGAGGAGTTTTTTAATTCACTACCTCCTGTGGTTCAAGGGGAAAGGAGGATGTAGATGTTCCTGGGGCTTTCCCCATGAGAATTGTGGGAAAGTACTCCAGTGCCTGCTGGGGTGTGTGTGTGTGTGTGTGTGTGTGTGTGTGTGTGTGTGTGTGTGTGCCACCAGTCTGGGGGTGCAGCTGTCTGGGGATGGGTCTGGTGACCTGATGCAGTGGACCTCGCCTGTGTTCCAGGGGAACCCTGAAGTGGCCCGATGGGCGTAACCATGTGGGGGATTTCTGCCAGGGCCTGGAGCATGGGTAAGGCTGACTGGGCAGATAGGGACAGATGGGGCAACCAGACGAGCTGTCATCCACTGGGCTGCCCCAAATCCCCAGACCTCAAACAGGAGTGGGCAGGTGGCCCAGCTCCTGCCACCACAGAAGGGGGACCCTGGCTGGAATAGGAATGTGGTCTCAGCCCGAGACTGGCTCCCATGTGGGGGAGGGGTGTCCTGAGGATTTTTTGCAAGAGAATAGGGAGGTCTGAGATCTTCTATTTTTTTTTTCTGGGGGACTCCTTGGAAACAAGGCAACTGGGTGGCATGGAGGGATGTGACGGGGACATCTGATCAGGCAAGTGGGCTGGATGCTGACTTCTGACCCTACCCAACTACACGGTCAGCTTTGGCATCTGCCTGGTGCCCCAAGCCTCTGAGGACAAGTTTGACTGTTACAAGTGCCACTGGCGGGAAGGCAGCATGTGTGACTATGGCATCTGTGAGTAAGTGACCTTTGACCTGGAGAGGAGGGGGTGGGGAGGGGCATCCTCTGGACTGAGCTCCTTGAGGTGGAGCCAACTGTTGGTGAATCTCTCCAGGTATGGCACTGAAGAAGTGTACAAGGGCTATTTTCAGGCCGGCCTTCGGCATGGATTTGGTGTCCTTGACAGTACCCCACAGGCCTCCCAGCCCTTCAGGTACACAGGCCACTGGGAGAGAGGCCAGAGGAGTGGCTATGGCATTGAGGACAACAGTGAGAGGTGAGTGCCGGTATAGAGAAGCCAGAAGTCCTGCTGGCTCAAGCCGCAGGCTCTTTCTAGTGCCCCTGGACCCCTGGTCTTTTGTTCTGTCCTGGTCCTGGGCTGCCTGTCTCTATGGGACTTCCCTCCGCCTATGCTTCGTGCTACCTCTAGGGGCTCCACCTGGAATGCTTCCTTTCTCTGCCCTCCTCTGTTCTCCTGTCACTGCCTGTCTCCCCGAAGCCCCTGCCAGCAGAGCTTCCAGAAGGCACATTCTGAGTCCCCTCTCACATTTCCTCTTCCCTTAGGGGTGAGCGCTACATTGGCATGTGGCAGGCTGACCAGCGTCATGGCCCTGGGGTCGTGGTCACCCAGGCAGGCGTCTGCTATCAAGGAACATTCCAAGGGGACAAGATGGCTGTGAGTGGCAGCCCCTTCCCTGGGCACTCTGTAGCTGAGTGAGAGTCAAGCTGGGTGGATGACAAGCGATGCTTGGCTCTGCCACCCATCTACTCTGACTTTGGCAAGACCCAGTCTGCTGCTTAGCTTCGCTTCCCCTATCTTCAGGTCAGGGCAATGGCACTTATTGTATACTAGGTGCTTATTGTGAGCTAGGAAGAGCCAGTGTGTCACTGGACAGCTGGTGGCCTCCAGAGACCCCTCGATAGCCCTAGCTGAACCTCTATTATCCTTCTGGGGTCCCTGTGTAACTTCTGCAATTGATGCCATTGTCCTTAGCTTGTGAATGGCAGGCACATGTTTATTGATGACAGACATCAGAGAACCTGCTGAGACTGAGATCAAGCCCAAGTCCTCCAGCTCCCGCCTTCTGCCTCTCGGCTTGCCAGGGGTTTGATGTGTAGTGGGTGGGGCCATGGCCAACAGCTGTGCATGGCTCTGTGGGTTGTTTGTTTAGATTCCATCTTGTTCTGGAAATAACCGGAAGGTGACCCCAGAGAGAAGGGGCAGGAAGGGCAAAAATAGGCCCACGAAATCCACAGAAACAGGTTAAACATGAACTTGTCAGTGAGTTTCCTGTAAGGGCACTTGATTGGCCCTGAGGACCCAGGGCAGTGGCAGGGAAGCAGAGGCATTGGAAAGGAAGCCAGCACTTCCTGAGGAGGAGCCACATCTGAGGGTTAACTCGGGAAAACAGGGATGGGGTTCGTGGGACTCGGCACATCTGGGGCAGGCAGTGCAGGGCTGGGGTGCTCTTGGCCCTGTGGGTCAGTGTCCACATACCCTGTTTTTCTGTCCAATCTCACACCTCCTCCCCTCTGTCTATTCCTTTCAAGGGCCCAGGCATCCTGCTATGTGAGGATGACACTCTGTACGAGGGCACTTTCACCAGGGACCTGACCCTCCTAGGGAAGGTGAGAGCCATGCACTTCTCATCCTACCCCATAAAGCCAGGGCTCAGAGCTGAGGATGGAGGTAAAGGTTGGGCAGCTGGAGGATGCCCCTCCCACCCCCATGGTTTCCAAGGGGCTCCATGTCCTTGCCATGGTGCATGCAACACTGACTTAACAGAGCAAGGTGGCAAGGGACTGGAGCATTTGCCTCATGCCCAGAGGGCACAGACTGTCAGAGCTTCGCCCTTATGCAGCCATCAACACCCGAGCCTTGGGCAGCTGTCCCTGGGGTCACTGTTCTTTCTTTCTTCCTGCCCAAGTTGACATAGCAAAAGGCAGTTGTGTCCATGCCGAGGCCTTTGGAAACTCGGGGATAGTTTTGGGTACAAAGAGATAGGTGAGTCTCGGCATCATGAGTGCTACGAATGGATCAACTCCACGCAGCCAGAAATTGCCCCTCTAGATCCCTGGACCAAGCTACCCAGCCTCACAGTGGAGCTGGGTGAGGCTTCTAGAATTTTCCAGCACCTTGAATGGACAGGTAGAACACATGGTCAGATGTTTCCAACTGACCTACCTGAGTAGGCCCAACATTGACACACTTGGCTGGGCAGCTGGCTGGGCACACAGACATACCTGTCCTTTTCTGCTCCCAGGGCAAGGTCACCTTCCCCAGTGGTTTCACCTTGGATGGTTCTTTCAGCAGTGGGACAGATAAAGGACTGTTCACACAGGGAGTGCTGGACACAGCCGCCCTCCCGCCCAACCCAGCCAGTACTCGCAAGAGGTGAGAGCCCAACCTGTTTGTAGTGTGTCTCTTCTCACCCAAGGCCTCAGTGCTCAGCGGAGGCTTTTTACCTTAGAGAGTCCAGAGCCCCAGGTCTTCTAGTCAGAGGCTCTTGAAGTCTAGGGCTCAGGTGGATACACTGCCATACATAAACTGGAAGAAAAATAGGATTTGTAAGTCTCACTTTGACCTTTCTTTCTAGAAAGGATACAAGATATTTTCCAAGTCAAATACACAAGGAAAAAAAGTAGAAAATAAAATTGTGAGTAGATCCTAAAAGAAAGAGATAGATACATCATTAGAGGCATAGCCATAGTGTCCCTTACTGGCTCTGACTTCCCCAGCAGACAAAATGAAGGAGGCAAGAAACTCCATATGCAGACTCGCTCTCCCAAAGCAATAGTTTGTGAGACAGATTAGTCCCCTATGAAAGTAGAGCGCCCTTTGAAAACTCACAGTTCAGGTGAATAACTCTTGCCATATTTGTTGAGAATCTGCATGTGTTGAGGGAAGAATAATGGAGAGTGGTCCCATAAGAATTTCAGAGGTAGGGAGGTGAAACAGCAGACCTATTGTCCCTGCGTGCTGCTCTGCTGTGACAGCAGGAGCTGGGAGAAGACAGTGGTCCTGGAGAGGTCTGCCCCAGCCTGGCAGGGTGGGGCTGTGGGTTACCTCTGAGGGTTCCCGTTGTGAGACGCTACCTCTTAGACTTACAGTTGTCCTTCACTCAGCCTGTTGGCAAGGCAGGATCCACCACAGGGTGGCTATGGGGGAGGACAGGGCAGAGCAAAACGCAGGGAAACCCTGGACTTCCAAGCACTGGTCTGTCTTCTTCCAAGACCAGCTGTCTGGATTTGGCTTCCAGCTCTCCAGGCCCTTTGCAGAACTATGTACCCTGCCTCTCCTCCATCTCAGAACACATGCTCTTGCCCTCTGTCTCATTTTCTCCTCCACTTGCCTTGGAGGTCAACTCGTCTGTATTCTCCATCCTGCCTCACTCCCAGGCTGGGCGCCAGGGGCTTGCTGGCTTCTGCTCCATCTCTCACATCTCTCGCTGTTCCCAATCACAGACAGCTGGGGCTGGGTGCCTTCCCTGTGGAGAGCCGCTGGCAGGGAGTCTACAGGCCTTTCCAGGACTTCGTGCGTTCAGGCTGTCCTGGGGAAATGCAGGAAGCCCTCTTGGGCTTCCATGTGCAGAGCTCCAGGGAGCTCCGAGAGTCCCAGGAGTACCTGAGCTGTGAGAGGTGAGCTTGGCCCTCTGGATGCCCCTACAGGTCAGAGAGGGGTTAGGGAAGCTTCTGGGGATGGGTGGGTGCTGGCTCAGGGGCCGGTGAGGGACACTGTGCGTGGTGCCCCAGGAGCCACCCCAAGGACTGTGCGGGCAGCATGGAAGATACCCTGAAGGAGCTGCTGCCCCACCGCGAGCCCCAGGCCCTGCAGCAGTACCTCAGGAAGGTGAGGGTCCTGGGCTGGGGAAGGCCTTCTGTATCTCACAGCGTGGTGCTAACTGGAGGGGACAGGCCCATGGTGCTCCTGGTCCTCAGAGGGCCTCAGTGTTCCCGTCTGGGAGGCTGGTCTGGGCTCACTGTGCTCCACACACTGGGTCTAAGCAGCCATGTTGTCTGTCTCTCATGGGCCCAGGCTCTGAGCAATTCCCGACACCCCCTGGGGAGGTTACTCCGTACCCTGATGCTGACCTTCCAGGCCACATATTCAGGCATAGGAGCCAACAAACACCTACAGGGGATGGCCCAGGAGGAGGTGAAGCAACATGCCCAGGAGCTTTGGGTCGCCTACAGGTGAGCCTGGGCACAGGGTGAAGAGCCCTGCCCAGGGCCTGGCCCAGGATGGCCCTTGCCAAGACTTGGCTTGGTCCCATACCTCCCACTCAAGTCTTGATCAGTACAGGACAGCCAGGGCTTCCAGCAGCTCCTGGCCAGGGGCCAATCCCTGTCTAGTCCCTGGGCACACCCATGGGAACTCTACCCTTGCTGTAGCCCGAGTGTGACCCTGGTTTTAAGATCTATGTATCCTGGCCCAGGTGGAAGCTACATCCTATGAGTATTACCGTTAGGAGCTTCAGCTGTCACTTGAGTGCCAGGACCCTCCAGCCTTGGACCCTCAGAGTCTGCAGGCATCCCATCCATATCTAGGCAGCTATTTCTGGGAGGTGGGACTGCCTACTCTCCATTTTGGTGAATGGGAGGGTGGAATTCTGTTTCTGTGGGCAGTGGCTGCACCTGCACCATGCTCCTCTCATTGGCTTGCAGGGGTCTGTTGAAGGTTGCCTTACAGCGCCAGGGCCAGACCCTGGAGGAGGAGGACATGGAGACAAGGTACCTGATCAAAGACCTTTGCCATCTGGGGCCTCCCTCTGGGTGGCAGTGCTTCTTGGGAAAGCCCTGGGCATGTATGACTATTTATAATCACAGTGACCTTGGTGCTAGGATACACCCTGGAGCGGTGCCACCGTGCACTAGATAGCTTTGTTCTAAATGTGCCCTTCAGCCTCATGTTTGAGCTGTGCAGAGGGGAAGCAGTTGCCAGAGGCCTCCTTCACGTGCACCACGAGACTGAGGCAAGGAGGAGATGAGCCTAAGGTCACATAGAGCAGGAGTCAGCTGACCCCGGGACAGACTCTAGTTCTGTGGAGGTGGAGGTGGCCCTGGCAGCGGTGTGTCCCACCCATTGTGGCCTTGCAGGAACCTGCGGGTGCACGGGTTGCTGCTGCCCCTCGTCTTGCCCAGCTTCTACTCGGAGCTCTTCACACTCTACCTGCTTCTTCATGAGAGAGAGGATGGGTTGTACAGCCAGGGCATTGCCAACCTCAGCCTGTTCCCTGACACGAAGCTGCTGGAGTTCCTGGATGTGCAGAAGTAAGCTCCTCCTCACCCACTCGGCTAGACACTTACTGTTAGTCATGAATGCTCGGTGGAGCTTAGGCTTGTTTCTTGCTAGCTCTTATAACTCAGCCTATTTCTCTCCATCTATGTTTTGCCTAGGAGCTTTTTACCTTTCTTTCCTTCTGTACATCTTACTTTCACTGCTTCTCGGGTCTGGCTGGTGGCCTGGCTTCTGGCTCTGGGTGGGTGTGTCCCTCTCTCCCTTGTTCTCTTCTCCTTCTTCCCTCAGAGCCTAGATGTCTCCCATTTATTCTCTCCAACCCCTAGCCCCACCTGTCCCTCTCCTATTGGCTGTTTAGCTTTTTATTGGACCAATCAGGTACCTCAAGCAGGCAAGGTGAAACAAATACAACACATCTTTACATAATTAAGTAAATGCAGCATAAACAAAAGTAACACACCTTTACACAGTTAAAAGTAATATTCGGCAGCATAAACAAAATAAACACATCTTGCCTGGTTATAATATTCCACAACTGTGAGGTGCGCTCATTTATACACACATCACAGAGCTACGGGGCACACAGTCAGATGCAGCCGTATCAAGGTGCTCAACCATCCCACAACGGAAACCACCTTTGCTTTTCCCTCTGGCTTTGCAGGAGCATGGCACCAGCCACTTCAGGGTTATTGCCTCTGGCTCGGTCCCTCCACTGTTGCCATAGAGAGCTGGCATTTCCTGTCCCTTAGCTCCAGCAGTTCTCTTGGAGCCCCTCCTGGCTTGGTGTCCCTACTCTGGGTGCTGGCCAGCCTTGACTGGGCCTGCCTCCAGATCCACCAGTGAGGCCTATACACTTGGACTGAGAGTTGAGGAGGAGAGGTCATCATGGGGAAACTGAGGGTGTACTGGGAACAGGTCAGACAGGTGTTTACCACACTCTGGTCACTAGCGTCTAGAGCCTCCCTTGGCCTCTCCCACCCCCCTGCCTCTAATACATGCTCCTTCCTTAGTGTGGTCATGAGTGCTTGATTGTCCCCGCTGGGATCTCAGCTGCTCCCACAGCAGTGGAAGATCACTTCCCCTGGGACTCCATGGCTTCTCCTGGCTACAGGCTGCCACTGTGGCCCCATTCCATTCCCATTGCCTGTTTAGCCTTCCTGCTAGGGACACAGGAATAGGGTGTGTCCTCTGAGCTCAGACTCCCAAGCAAAGCCTCCCACCTCCTGTCTCCAATTTCAGGCACCTGTGGCCCCTCAAGGACCTCTGGCTGACAAGCAATCAGGTGAGAGAGCAGTATTCTGTTTGCCTGGGAGGAGGGGCCTGTGGTCCTAGAGTCTCTGAGTCAGGATTGCCTGGGGAGAGCCCGGTGAGGGAGGAGAAACCAGGCTTCCTTCCTGTCTTAAGTGGCTCCCACACAGGCTCTTCTCTTCTGGCTGTGACCGAAGCTCTGAGCCTCAGTTTTCTCTTGTGTAAATAGAGCTCTGACAGACCCACCTCATAAGACAACCACACCAGACCCACCTCCTGAGACAGCCATGGTTGAGGGCACAAGATGCCACCATCGACTGCCTCAGGGCTGTCTGCAGTCTCCCAGAGAAGCAGATTCTTGGGCTCCACAGTTTTTGTGATGCTGGGCAAAAATTCTATCACAAGCTGCTCCCATGGTCTCACCTCACGTCCATAAGAGTCAGAAGCAGGGGGTCAACTCAGAAACCTGAGTTTCCCAACAAGTCCTTGGGCCTGGGGGAACCATTGACACCAGCTTTGGAATTTTGTGTCACCAAGCGACCTTGCTGTTAGAATGATTGCTTTTTCTGTCTACTTGGATCTTCTCAACCTCTTGGAGCCTCATTCCCCCATTTTATAGCTGCTTAAAGTGAAGCTCACAGTGGAGCTGTGTGGTTGCCGTGGGGCAGTGACGGGGCAGATGTGGGGGGGCAAGGGACCCTGAGGATGAGGGCATGTCCAGCTGGATCCCTGTTTACCTCCCTTCTCACCTTTACAGAGATATTCTCTGGTCCGGGACAAGTGTTTCCTGTCAGCCACTGAGTGTCTGCAGAAGATCATGTGAGTGTCCGCCCTGGTTGGGGGAGGGGACACGTAGGGGCACAGGAGTGCTGTCCCTTCTTCTTGACCAGGAGTTACACCCTCCTTACAGCACCACAGTGGACCCTCGGGAGAAGCTGGAAGTGCTGGAGAAGACCTATGGGGAAATCGAGACCACGGTGTCTCGGGTGCTGGGCCGGGAGTACAAACTACCCATGGATGACCTACTGCCCCTGCTTATCTATGTGGTGTCCCGAGCCCGGTGAGTGGGAACCGGGGTAGGAGGAAGAAAAAACCCCTTCCTACCCTGTCTGCACCAAACACAGGACAGAGGAAGGCAAGGCGGGGAACCAAGGCCTAGAAAGGAGCCAGTCTCTTGGGTGTCTGGGCCAGAGCTGGGGCCATTCCAGAGGTGTCCAGCCCTCTAGGCCAGGGCTGCTCCCTGAGCTATGGTTATCTGTCTGCGACTTCCCTCTTCTTCTCTCCTTTATTGTCATGGTACTTTCTCTAGAATTCAGCATCTGGGAGCTGAGATCCACCTGATCCGTGACATGATGGACCCCACCCAAACAGGTGGCCTCCATGACTTCTTGCTCACTGCTTTGGAGGTGAGGGACCCGGGCTGTGAGCCCACGGACATCACTCCCTGCCCCAGACACCATGGTAGAAAGAGCTCAAATCCCCATCGTACTTGTCTTCATGGAAAGGATCCCTTGTGCTGTTCCCAGGGCAGATGAGCCTCACAGCCCTTCCGGCTGTAGCTCTGAGCAGTGTGCAGACGGAAGGCCTCTGCAGAGTGTGGCTGACAGCTAGTCCTGACTGGAGCACGGTGTACACAGGGAGGTGGGTGCGGTGGCTTGTGGGGCCATGCACATAGATGCCAGCAAGTCCAACCCCACTCGTCTCTCTCCCCAGTCCTGTTATGAGCACATCCAGAAGGAAGACGTACGACTGCACCGCCTGCCTGGCCACTGGAACTCTAGAGAACTCTGGTGACGTGGCTACTCTGGACCAAGGGCAAAGCTGGGGCCACATGGCCGCAGTGGACCTTTGTGGAGCAAGCCAGCACTGCCCATCTGCCCCCCATTGCCTGGGTCAAGGCAGGCTGTGGAGGTAGTCCTCAAAGGAGATGGTGTTTTGCTTCCTTGAGGGACATGCCCAGCTGCTGCAGTGTGATCCCATAGCTGATAACTTGCCACTGGCCTCTGGTCTGGGCTCAGATAACCTTTTGCCTGGAAGTTGCACCATCTTGGGTGAGGAGCACTCGCTTCACTCTGCCTCAGGCCTTAGTCAGAAACCAGCACTCTCTGGGCTGCGTGCCCATGTGATGGTGGAAATGATTTCCAACATTCTTCCAGTCCAGTTCACTTAGCTCTGCAGGCCTCCCCAAGATCTGGCTTCATTCAGTTCTTTGGACTGAAATGGAAATTCTCACTGTTCATCCCATTTCTATTTCTCGGCTCCTGGCTAGAAGGTCCCAAACTGCAGAAGGCTCAGATTGTTCCGTTCCTTTTCCCATGAATATCTGCCTGGGGACCTGCTTCCTCCTCAGCTGAGCTTCAGGCCTGAGCTGGCCTCTCAGGAGGACCGGGTGGCAGGAAAACCTCAGCTCCACACCAAGCTGCCTGGTTGCCTCTGTCAGGCCCTGCCCTTTGCAAAGGCTTGGGATGCAAACATCAGCAGTCATTCACCAGGCCTCGATCACCAGCAGACTGCAAGTGGCCCATAAATGACATACCTGAGACACTGTTTTGGGTTCTCTGGAAGAGACAGCAGTAATATTCGAGGCTTGCTAGTGCCCTAACAGATGAACATCTCTGGCTCAGGGCCATAAACAAGTTTGGGCATGGTGCTGGGCTCTGGGTCACTGTTTCTGGCTCAAGTTATGCCTCCCACCAATTCAGCCTGTGTGGGAAGGGCTAAGGTATAGATCCAAAGCCAGGGCTGAGACTCCTGGGAGCCTCAGGGAGGACCACCTTCAGAGCCTCTCAGAAAGTGTGGAGCACTGTGAAGAGAGCCTACTGTTCTCCTACCCTGCTGTCCCCAGAGCGAGCAAAGAGGCTTTCTCTGGCTGGATCCACCAAATGTTTCAGCGTGAACATAGGGCCTGGGGCTTGAGTTCTGCCAGGAACTTGGTCCCCAGGAAAGTCTTTGGAAGCGTCAAAGTGATGGAGGCCTCTCTCTCAATGACAGTCCTAAGTGCCTATGACACAGATCAGCTGTGAGAAAACCCTGCCACCTACTCCCCTGTTCCCAATACTAACTGAACTTGGGCCTCTGGTCCTTGTGGGTCCACAGGGTTTCCATAATGTCCTGGTAGGTTCCAGGAGCAGCCAGGGCTGTAACAAACCCTTGGGACAAAATTGACATGTGAGGGGATGCAGGAAGATTGACAACACAAGGGGGTGCCAGTCAGCCACCCACATTCGGTGCTTCTGGAGACTGGAGGGGCCATCTCAGTGATGGCCTCTTTAGAGGTGTTAACTGTCCAGCCTAGAACACCTTTTGACTTGTGAGTCGTGCAAGAGGGCAGTCTTAGGAGTTCACGGTTGCTATCATCAGTACCCTTACTGCCATAAGAGAATCTGCAGGCCAGATGTAAAACTCCCTCAGTCCACCTCACTTCACGTCTTCCTAGAAAGGAGGCCTGGAGTCCGGAGGGAAGAATGTGAGAGATGACACAGGATGTGATTAAAGTCTCTGACATCTAAGAGACTTTATTTCCCTTCTTCATTTCCCCTGGTGCCTCATAATGGTTTGTTTTTGTTTTTTGCTGGCTACTTCTCTGGGGCCTGGCCACAGTTACAGTCTACTTATTTATTGCGCATTTTTAATAAATCCGTTTCATCTTTATGTGTGTGTGCACATGTGTGTATATGCGTGTGTATAAGAAGGCAAGAGGGGCTGGAGAGATGGCTAAGAGGTTAAGAGTACCGGCTGCTCTTCCAGAGGTCCTGAGTTCAATTCCCAGCAACCACATGGTGGTTCACAACCATCTGTAATGAGATCTGGTGCCCTCTTCTGGTGTGGAGATATACATAGAAGCAGAATGCTGTATACATAATAAATAATCTTTGAAAAAAAAAAAAAAGAAGGCAAGAGTTAATATAATATAAGGTGTCTTCCCTGATTATCCTTTATCTTATCTTTTGAGATAGAGTCTCACCTTGAACACAGGGCTCCCTGATTCACCTAGACTGGCTCACCAGCAAGCCAAAGGGTTTTCCTTTCTCTGCTTCCCCATGTCCATAGCTGCAGCCATGCACTTCTGGGCCCACTGGGCGCTGGGAACAGAAGACATGTCATCATACTTTACTGACTGAGCCACCTCGAGTCCCCCATACCCCGTCATCTTTTCATGGCACCTCCTGCCTGCGGGGGTCAGGGAGAAAGTAATGCTTGCAAATGCCCAGGATCGATGCCCACTGACTGAACTTTTAGCTACGAGAGGGCAAGGGCCATGTTCAGAAGCAGTGATACTGGGGATACAGAGTTTGCTTTTACTCTGTAAGTGGGGATTATGTCATTCCTACAAAGGGTATGTATTGTGTGCTGTGTCCAGGGGCCCTCCCAGGAGGTCAGAGGGTCACAAAGTCTGTTTGCCCGAGCATCAAGTGTTCCTTTATCACTCAGCTGTGAATCTGGTGTTTGGGTACATTTGCTAGGGTCCCTGGACTGCAAGTATTGGATTTTGGCCCAGTCTTGAACACCAAAATATTGCCATGACTGTGTGACATTGTATTTGGGTGGCTGTGGTCCTTGCCTGGGCATGTACAATCAGGCATCTTGATGCTTCCCCTGGTTCTCATTGCCAAAGGCTCCTTTTCCGCAGGTTCCCTGTGTGGTATCAACGGAGAATGGGCCTGTGCCATCCAGTGCCATAATGTTTGTCTTTTCGTGATTTGGGCCTGGATCGTCTGGCTTCCATTGACAAGCACCAGCCGACACTGGCTACTTGTAGTTGTCCCGACCCTCGGGACAGCAACCTAGAGCAAGAAGTCCAGGGAGGGGAATGGGGACAAGAGACGTGAGAGAATGACCACAAGACAGGATTCTGATCAAGTGGCAAGTTTTACTTCTTCCAGGCAGCTTATACAGTCAGTAGTATGCGGTAAAGGGGGTCGGGGGGAGAAGAGGCCAAGAGCCAGGTGTTAGTTTAAGCAGGATGTTAGAAAACTATAGAAAGAGGATGTTGGCAGGGTAAAAAGTTCATGGGTGGTGGGGAGCGGGAGGGTTACCTAGGTAAGTGGTGGGGGGAGGGAGGGGTGCTTAGGTAAGTGGGCCTGTGGTTGGAAAAAAGGATTGACGTCTGTGTCATGTTGTTCCTTTTGGGTGCTCATGCTTCTAGAAGCCATTTATAATCAAAAGACAGTTCTATAACCCTATAACCCTGTGGTTTGCCAAGTTTTGCCTAAAGGTTCATGCCAAGCTATATGGCTCCCAACAGCTACTGGCTGTCCCTTGGTGAAAATGGACATGGTGTGTTGTGTCTGGAAGGATCCTTTCCAAGATGAGCATTGCCGACTCTGTGCATGAGGCAGCTCTTTCTTTGTATAGTTTGGGTTTGTGACTATGGTCCTGGTAGGCCTTTTAATTAAGCTCATCTGTGAGGCAAGCCCAGGCTTCTTAGGGGACCTTGGGGTTTGCAAAGAGCCTAAGGTGCTGTGTGGACTTCACCATTGAATAGCTTATAGGTAGGTGTGTGTGTGTGTGTGTGTGTGTGTGTGTGTGTGTGTGTGACCTTTTCTTACAAGTGGCATGTCCCACTGATGCCCAATTAGCTCCATTTTCATTTGAAGACAGATTTTTGCCTGGCACAGCCCACCTTATTGAGGTTTCCCTTGCAGACTCGGAAGGAGGATGCTGAGAGTACCAATATCCAGAAAGCTGACTTCTCTGTCCTCCTGTGCCAGGTACCCAAGTCAGGAATACTGAACAGTCAGCTGCTGCACTCCAAACACAATGGAGCATTTTCCCTGAGTGCTGTCAGCTGCCTGCAGGGGGCTGCAATCTGAAGAATTATCACTGACCCTAGTGGTTTTGAAGGCTCCAGAAGACACTGAGGCCCAAGAGGGAGTGTTGCCTGCAGCTTCTTGGCATTTCCTCCCGCACATCTCTCGTACCTGCCCTTTAGGTGTAGTGACTCCTAATCCCACTTTGTATTCTATTCAATTCCCCTGGAATGAGGAACGAGATATCCTATAAAGACCAACAGGTGATCCCCTGCTACCATGTGGCTGGGCCAGGGGAGCATGGTGCTCTCCCAGTCACCACCTTGTCCTATAGTCACTATCCTCACCACTGGGAGCACTCCAGATGGTGAAGAGCTGGTGGCTACTTGGGACCACATCCATCAGAGTGTCACTTGGAAGAGCGACTACCTCCTCCAGCCCTGGATGCTGCCTCTGTCAGCTGAGCCTCGGCAGCTTTGGGGAACAATCCCAGGGATGCCCTGGCTCTCAGGAGGGACAGCATTCGGATGGCCGGCTCCAGTTTGTTTTGTGGTGCAGCCTGTAAATCCTCCTCCATAGGCAGGATTGCCCAGAACTCTGCTTCCCTCCTCTCGTAGCCATCAACTCTGCCATCTGTGTGACCTCTTCTATCTACTCCAAAAAAGCATAATTTCAGCCGGGGGTGGTGGTGACACAAGCCTTTAATCCCAGCACTCGGGAGGCAGAGGCAGGTGGATCTCTGTGAATTCGAGACCAACCTGGTCTACAAGAGTGAGTTCCAGGACAGCCTCCAAAGTCACAGAGAAACTCTATCTCAAAAAAACCAACCAACCAACCAAACAAACAAACAAACAAGCATGATTTCACTGGTGTCAGTCAAATACAGTGCATGAGGTAGTTTGAATAAGGATGGCCCATAGGCTCATAGATTTGAATGCTTGGTCACCAGGGAGTGGCATTAATTGAAAGGATTAGTAGGTGTGACCTTGTTGGAGGAAGTGTGTCATTAGAAGTGGGCTTTGAGGTTTTCAAAAGAAAAAGCCAGGCCCAGTGGCTCTTTCTCTTCCTGCCATCTGAGGTCGCAGATGTAGAACACATAGCTCCTTCTCCAGCACTCTGTCTGCTTCCATGCTGAGAATGGACTAAATCTCTGGAACTGTAAACAAGCCCCAACTAAATGCTTTCCTTTATAAAAGTTGCCATGGTCATGGCGTTTCTCCGAACCAATAACTCGTTGACTAGGACAGTGCCCGGGTGGCAGGATGGTGGCTAGCACTATTAGAGCTGCTGGTAGACTTAACACATCTCCATGAACCCAGCCAGCAAAGGAACATTGGCCGAGCTCACATGGATTCAGTTTGTCTTTCACAAGGATAGCAGCAGTGAGACACACACAGTGTCAGCTCCCATGACCCCAGCCTCGCTATATGACACAAACTGAGGGACCGGGGCCATGGCACAGGCAGTGGCCTATCTAACCACTGGAGGCCTACTTTCCAATTATAGCCAGGCAAGCTTTGTAACCTGTAGCAAAACCTTAAGCGGTGATGGTAGTGACCGCGGTAGTGATGGATGATGATGATGATGGTGATGATGATGGTTATAGATTATGGGATGGTGGTGGTAACAGTGGCCATGGTGGTGGTTATGGAGATGGTATATGAACTAGAAAGGTCTGTCATCAACTGAAACTACGGATACTAAGCTCTTGCAGTGGCTCCTTACCAGCACCTCCCCTCCACTGTACCAACACAGCAGGCTGCAAAGGAGCCTTGCCTAAGTGGTGTGTGTAAAGATATGTAAGGTTCCCAGGGTGCCAAACTTTCTGCTCCTAGTTTGCAAAGAGAGATTTGGGTATCACTCCCCATTCTACCTGAGAACCGAGCATCCCTTTGACCCTGAGAGGCCTGGAAAGTGCTCCCAGAAGTCCCGGGTGCTCTGTGCTTCCTTCTGCCCTCCTCAACTCTGTTCTGACCTCAGCTAGCAAGTCCAGTACCTCTGCTTCTCTCCATGTCAAAGGGGATTCTTATCCAGGTTGTGGTCCCCTGGAAAGGACCCTAGTCTTAGGCCCACCTGGTCCTCCTGTGGCCTTTCCTTCCCAGCTGCAGTCAGCTGTCCACACAGCAGCAGGAGGGAGCTTTGGGAAGGAAGCCCTCTGACAGCTTTCCAGATCTCCTAGAAGCAAATCCAACCCCTGTATGTTGGCCAACACGGTTGCCCTGAAACTCTGTCCATTCTTCATGACTTTTGCCTTGTTTTCTTCTGGCTACAGTCGCCATCTGTTTTAGGTATTCTATAGTCCCTGTTGCCCTTCCTCCACCCCTGACCCCTGCTCTTCCCAGAACAGACTCCTTCATGTCCTACAGGTTTCCTGATTCCATAGTACTTCCTGCAAAAGCCAGCTCCCCCAGGATCTGCTGCATCTGCCCCTGCCAGCATCCTGTCATGTGTGTGTGTTTTGTCTTTTCTGTTGCATCTCAATTTCCTGCCCTTTGCTGGGGAGGACAGGAGAGGATCTCGGCTGTCTCAATCAGAGTCTCATCCCCAGGGATTAGATCTACCTGACAACAGTGAAACTGCATCTCCCAGACTCTTCTGTGTTTCTCCATCCGTGAAGATCAATAGCAACAAAAGTGTTCAAAGCATCCAGGACTGCACAGTGCGGTGCTTGCCTGGGACTAGAGGGCAGGACTCTGTGTTACTCCAAGACTCAAACAACACTCAGTCAAGAGTGCTACGGGTGACCCGAAGTTGGAAACAATGTCTCCAATTCTTCAAGAATTTTCCTCCTAGCTTAGAGTGGTATACAGTCATGAGAGAGGGCAGTAGGATTTCATTGGAAATCAGAGCTGGTTTCTGGGGAACTGGGAGTAGGTGAGGGGGTGAGCAGGGCAGTGGAGA